TACATTAAGTTAAGGACCATGCACAATTCTCCAGAATTGATGTGTGACCAAAAAAGGATGTATCCCATCAATGATGATCTAATGTTTTTTGAGAGTGCTATTACCTAGAACCTTGGTTATAGTCATTGCTTGACAAATAAGAGAAAACATGACTTGACAGACAGAAAAGGGACTGGCCACCACAAGAAAAAAATGTACTTAAAGCTAATAAATTCCGAGTAATAATAAGAACAGTATTTGCAAATACATTAGTAATAAAATATGCTCCCTGTTATCAATGCATGCATTATAATCTTCAACTTTCTGCCCTATTTTTCCATGTCTCCTCCCATTTGCTCCAGAAGCTACCCTATAAAATGCTGCCTCCTAACCCCTAAAACTCATAGTTCATAAAGCAGATGAATGAACAATAAAACAGTTCTGTATGAATATTGGACAAGTAAACGTACCTTCCATAATGATGTGTGTAGTACAGGAAAGTTTTTGCGTGTTGAAAATATATGTGGAACAGATACTGTAGAAAAAGTATTATGGATGTGAATTAAAAGAAATAAGTAGAACACTTGGGGTGTGTCTAGACTACAGGGTTTTGTCGACAAAAGTGGACTTTTGTCAACAAAACTATACCTGCGTCCCTGGACACCAGCCTCAGACTCTGGCCTCCCAGATCCTGGCACCAACCCCACCCTTTTCTGGGTTCCCTTGACCCCCCCCACACACACCCACTGGCCCACCCCATTTCTTCCCCCCTCACCTGTTATCAGCTGTGCTCGTTACTGTGGGGTGTGCTCATTATTAGGGTTATTCTTTTGGGGGAGGGGAGATTAATAAGTCTATCAGTATGCTACTTGTGCTCTCCTACAGGGCTGTACTTCTCCCTGCTGCCAATTCCCTCCCAATGGAGCTCCCCTGCAGGAACTATGTTCCCCTGAAAACACTGACACTCCCATCCACATTAACAGAGCACCTCTGAGAGGGTTAATCAGCGCTCACAAGCTGACCCCTTGTATGACTCTGGAGTAAGCAATGCTGAGCTGGGACCCTCATGTGCCCTTGGACTCAGTGGACTGGGTTTAATAGCACTTTAAGCTGCCACCTCATAGGCCCCCAGGTTCAGCACCTTCCTATCCCCATTTTCACGCCACAACTGTTCCGCTATTTGATGAGCAAACCCACAGGAGTTTTGGATGCTACAGTGATCTTTTGCTTGGGTACAAGGAGTATTATTGCAGAGTGAATAGAGAGACCAAAATACCCTTGAGGGAGAAAGAGAGGAGAGAGAGCAACAACTAGTTTAACAATGAAAGTTATTTATTGCTAGGTAGTAACCATACAAGGAGAGTCAAACAAACAAAACAGTTACAATATTAAATCTAACTTAAATCTGTTCACAAATGGTAGGGCTAGCAAACTAGAACTGATCACATAAAGCAGAGTCAGGAGGTTGCACCTGTGGGGGGAGTGTGGGAGGGG